GGGTTCTTAGCCTTTTGTGCATCATGGACTCCTTTGGAAGCCTATGAACCCCTTCTCAGAATAATGTTTTTAAATTAATAAAATACACAGTATTAGAATAGAAATCAATTATATTGAAATAAAATTATCAAAGTTTTTTTCAAAGTGGACCCCAGGTTAAGAAGCCCTGCTCTACAAAGACATTCTCTGGTTGACATCATTAGTCCCCCGTAATTCATTATCAGTAAGATTCCCCCTCCCACCAAATTGATATGGTTTTCTCAGTGGAAATGGCATTAAAGAAGTTTTACCACCTGTTTTGTAACTACCCTCTAAAGACCATAGGACCTTTCCATTTGACTTGTAGTTGAAATCTTCCATTTATATTGGCTTTCCCATTAAAATTGAGGGCAAGGTCTGTCTTCCTTTTCTTTTCTTTTTATAATTAATTAATTAATTTTTAGTTTTCAACATTTACTTCCATAAGATTTTGAGTTCAAATTTTCTCCTAGTCTCTCCTTCCCCCCTCCAAGACAGCATGCAATCTGATACAGCATCTACATATACATTCATATTAAACATATTTTCACATCGGTCATGTTATCAGTAAGATTCTTGAGCATACGAATTGTATCATTTGTTTTTGTATCCTCAATGTCTAGGAAAGAGCCTGGCACATAGCATGCACTTAACAAATTCCTGACTGACTGATGTCTATGTAGATGATGAATATATCTATATATTCAGCCCCAGTCTCTCCCTTGAGCTTCAGTCTAACATCACTAACAGACATTGCAAATCAGATATCCCAAGGAATATTGCAAACTCAACATATCCAAACAGAACTCAATTATCTTTTTCCCTCATACCCTGTTCCAAACTTACTGATTTCTGTTGAAGGCATTACTATTTTTCCAGTCTCCCAGATTGGTAACTACGGTGTTATCCTTGACTCTGCCCTCTGTCTCACACTACATATCTAATTTACTATCAAATTATTCCATTTCTACCTCTGTAACATCTCCTGCATTTGACCCCTTCTTTCTACACACATAGCAGCCACCTTAGTTCAAGACCTCATCACTTCTCCCCTAGATTATTCTAACAGTTTCCTAATTGGTCTCGCTACCTCAAGTCTCTTATCACTCCAATGTATCCTATATTGCGACCAAGGTGATTTTCCTCAAATGTAAATTTGACCACAACATCCCCCTACTTAATTAACTCCAGTGGCTCCCTATTGCCCTTAGGACAAAATATAGGCTCCTATGTTTAGCTTTTAAATTTCTTCACAATGTGGCAGCAACCTATTTTTCCAATCTCAATACACAATACTCTTCCCTCCTGCATTTTGCAATATAGACAACTAAACTTCTCTCTATTCCTTTCATATGACACCACATATCTCCAGCCTTTGCACTGGTTGTCCCTGCTGACCAGAACGTGCTCAACTCACCTCACTTCTGCCTCAGGGAATTCTTTTCTTCTTTCAAGATGCAGCCCAAACACCACCTTGTAGATGAAACATTTCCTGATTCTCCAACAATAGTGCCCTATCTCTCTAACCACCTTGTAAAAAAGTACATTATCCCTCCCAAGAGAATGTAGTTCCTCTAAGGAGGATTGTTTCATTATTGTATTAATATCCCCAGTACCTGGCATATTTATTGCTATCATCATTATTATTATAGGGACCAATAAATATACACAAATAACTTTCTCATAAACTCAAATTTTTAAAAACACATAAAAGATGGTAGCAAGCATAAACACAAAAGAGTAAAACAATCTTGTAAGAATAGCATCTGGAACTCTCAGAGTGAGGTGTATAAGGAGAACAAAATGCTTTTTAGCTAATTTAGGGCCAAAGGGAAGATCAAATTAAGGATCAGACTGACACTTGGGCTTGATGGACAAGACAGCAGACCAAAGAGAGAAGGTCAAACTAACCATCCCTTATTTTGCTTGTTTTTCTTGCAAAGGAGAATGATCACTCAATTAGGAAGGCAAAAAAAGAGAGTGGAAATCTAAATAGTAAAGGAGATAGAGAGAGCACCTAGCTACCCTCATGGAGTACAGTCACAGGCCTGGACAAAAAAATCCTCGAGGGCACTGGAAAAACTGGCTATGACTATGGATCTCTGTCAATGATACTGGAGACACACTGAAATAACTTGACCAGTATTTATTAATAGACTCACTCTCGTTCAAGATGCAGCTCAACACTCACCTTTTACATGTAGCCTTTGCTGACCCCCAATGGCTAGTGCACTTCCTCCCTAACTCTAATTGCCTTATATCTATTCCACATATATTTCTATACGTAGCTGTTATCTCCCTCTTTAGACCATAAGCAACTTGGGGCTATTTCATTCTCTGTATTTCTATATCCAGCACCTAGCACAGTGCCTGACATACTGTAGGCATTTAATAAACAAGTGATTGGTTAAGTGCTTACTATGTGCTAGTCACTGTATATATTTAAGTACATACCAATATATAAAATGAATAAAAGTAGTTTTGGCAGGAGGTGGAACTAGCAGCTGGGTGACTAGGAAAGACTTCATGTAGAAGGTGAAGTCCTGTGAAGTCAGCTTCATGTGAAGCTGAGTCTTAAAGGAAATTCCTTTAGAAGGAATTCCAAAAGGCAGGGATGAGGAGGGAATGCCTGGGAACACACAGCATAAATGCAGAGATGGAAGATGGAGTATTTTGTGTGTTAAACAATAGGTAGAGGACAGTATAGCTGGATTATAGAGAATGTGGGGAGTAAAGTAGGAAGGGGCCAGGTTGTGAAAAAGATTTCAATGCCAAAAAGGATTTTATAGAGCAAGAAGGGTGCGTGCGCATGCCGTGCGTGCGTGTGTGTGTGTCTGTGTGATCAGGTCTGCATTTTTAGGAAAATCAAACTTAGCTGCTGTATGGAGAATGGATTAGAATGTGAAGAAGCTTGAGGCAGGGAGATCAAATAGCAGGATTATTGTAGCAGTCCAGGCAAAAAGCAATGACACTCCTGAATTACACAGTGATGACTGTGTAAACGAAGAGGAGAAAAATGACAGTGCAGATTTAATTAAAAAAAAAAAAAAAAGGAAGAAGGCAAAGGTTCTAACTACAGGCTAGTGAGCATGGCTTTAGTTTGACAAAATTCAAGAAAACATTACTATTAAAAGATTAGGTAATGTGGCATTTATGTAGAGAAATAGTTAATGAGCACTAGCATAACTTCATTAAGACTAATGATCCTGTGACATCATGGGGAGTGCATTCCAGGCTTGGGGAATGGTCAATGCAGATGTACAGAGAGAGGAAGTGGTGGAATATCTATGTGAGATAAAGAGAAAAGACTAGATTGGCTGGATCACAGCCTGTGGAAGGGAGAGTAATACCCAAAGAGCTCGATATATTGGGGGTTGTGAAGGGCTTTAAAAGCAAACAAGAGTTTATATTTACTTCAGACTGTTTTTCTGTTGTGTCTGACTCTTCATGACCCCATTTCGGTTTCTCTTGTCAAAGATACTGGAGGGGTTTGCCATTTTCTTCTCTATTTCATTTTACAGATAAGGAAACTGAGGCAAATAGGGTTACAAGACTTGACCAAGGTCATACAGCTAACGTCTGAAGCCAGATGTGAACTCAGGAAGAGAAATGTTCCCGAATCTTGGTCCAGCACTTGGTCCACTGCACCACTAAGCTGCCTTTATATTTTATTCTAGAGGCAAAAAGAAGCTACTAAATTTAGTTAGCTTGATGTAACATGGTCAGATCTGTGTTTAAGGAAAATTACTTTGGCAGCAGTATATCAAAGGCAACTTAACAGACTTCAGGTAGGGAGAAAAATTAGGGTTCTGTTGCAGTAATCTAGCAAAGAAGTAATGAGGGTCTGAACTGGGATGGTAACTGTGTAAGTGACCAGAATGAGTTAGATGGGAGAAATGCAAAGTAGAAACAGCAAGATTTGTCAACTGGTTGGAGTTAAATTTGTGGATTGAGTGAAATTGAGAGTTAAAGGTAACGAATCAGATAACTGGCCAGGATACTAAAAGATGTCAACAAGTTTGAATGATGGGTCAAATAGGGTAAAATTTCAATTCTACACTTAGTTTCCTGCCCCTCCTGACTCCTCCTTCTTCCCCCCTTAACTTTATAAGCTACAGAAAGACTAGCCAAATAATAATTTGGTGGAAAGAGAACTAGTAGATTTAGTGGACTGAAGTTTCAAAAAAGTATGACATGTAGCCAAAAAACCATCATTGCTATCCTCTACTGCAAAGTCAGTGTCCACAGAAAGAAGAGTGCTGATAATTCTGTTATACTCTGACATACACCATACCATTAGAGGACTGGCTAAAAGAATCAGGAAATGTCTAATTTGAAGAAAAGATGATCTGAAGAGGACATTATAGCTTCAAGTATCTTAAAAGAAGTCTTTCTTGGCCTCACATGGCAGAACTAGGAGCAATGAGTAGAAATTTCAGAGAAGCAGATTTAGGTTTAATGTAGGGAAAAGCTTTTCTAATAACTAGAGCTACTCAAAAATGGAAGGACTGTTTTGAAACATAGTAGACGAGAAAATGTAAAAATTTAAGGCATTAATTGATAACAAGAAGTCTGAATAACCAAGATAGGCCAAATTAGGCTTCATGATTTAACTTCTAAGGGATGCTAGTAAAGCACTGAATATTGAATACTAGGTTCTCAGTAGTGTCTTAAAAGCAGACTGCAAGCTCCTTGAGAGTAGGGATTGTTTTATTCCTTGTATCTGTAGCCTCACGCCCTTGAACAGTGCTTGGCACACAGAAGGCCATTAATAAATGTCTGACTGATTAAAGTCTAGTCCTTACGTTATTGTGGTCCTTTAGATTAGAATAAGGCAAAAATGTCTTCTGGATTTAGTCATGGGCAAATATTTTAAATTAAATACCACAAATAAAATGTTCATAAATTTTTACATGGGAAACTAGAGTAATACATTCAAATAAGGTATTAACAAATAATTAAAAACACACCAATAATCTTACCTTTAGCTCTGCTTGTATGAATTCTGGCACGAACCCAAACTACTTCATCAGCTTTTTGTACTGTCAGGTCTTTAACTCGAACCAAAATTCGATCTGCACAAAACAAGTTAAACAAGTTAACAAGTTTGAACAAGTAAATCTGAAGTCTAAATCAAGTCAATCTAACCCCTCCTCCCCCCAATCCTATTTCAGTGTAACTATTAACTTCAGTAATTGACATACAACTAGTTTTATCCTATCACCTCTTGATAGCTCCTAGGGTTTTCTATTTCTTATATCATTACTCTACCGAAAACCAAGTATAACAAGATTTCAATGACAGCAACAAGGGGAAAATGATTGTCTTTCTGTCTCCCTACTGAAAAATGTTAAAGTCTACAGCTGAAATTAGGAGAGGATTACAGGGAAATATACAAAGTAATAATTAAGGGTGAGGCTGGGTATGATAAGGAGCAAAAATGGTTACTAATAGACTGGTTTTTATTTTATATGTTAAAAAATAAAAAGGTTTGGCTAGTTACCTGCATTTAAAATAATGAGTAAAAGTAGGAGTTCTTAACCTGGATCTGTGAACTTGTTTTATAAAATATTTTGATAACTGTATTTAAACACAATTTCCCCCCCTTGTAATCCTATGTATTTTATTTTAATAAACTTAAAAATCTGAAGTGATCCAGTCTTCACAAGGCTGTCAGAGGATTCTATGACACAAAAAAAACATAACTCCTGGCAGATAAAACTGTCCTGGCAAAAACGATGGTGGTAACTGAATCAGTGCACTTAGTAAGATGCACTAAAGGGTTAAGTAGGATTAATATAAAATAATAAGTTTTATCTGTTGAATTTGCAAGCATATAGATACGACTGCAGTACAGTATGGATACACAATTGTATGTGATCTAATCTCTACCAGACCGTCTAAGAGATTCATGACATAACAAAGGTCAAGAACCCCTATACTAGACAGTGATAGCTGGTACAATCTCAGTTTTGGATGATCTTGGATGAAGAACCATCTTTGATTTACTCTACATTAATACAGTCCGTACACTGACCAGCCTGAGCACTATGAAAAAATGGGTTAAGTTATTATGCCACCTATTAGACATACTAGGAAACCCAATCTAGATCAGAAAATCCATCTGGTCTGAGCTAGAGGACTCTTACTATTAGTGCAGACGAACTGCACTACATACATATACACATGTACATATAAATTCATACATACATATACATCAATTCATATAAATGAACAAATGATCAGACATCTCAAGCCTATGTTAGTTTTTTGGTGTAGATCTGTTACTTCATCACTATAGGGAGCTCCTTCTAGCAATGCAAATCTTTAACTTGTCGAGCTCTTTTAGTACGTTATGCTAAAAAATATGGATGCTTCTTTAACCTCTTAAATTTCAAATAAATTATTTCAATTTACATACGAGGCATTCCTGATTTAAAAGAAAAAAAATTCTAAATGCACTAAGGGAACTGAGTTAATGGGAATTTGTGAATCTCTTGTGAACTTTGCTTATCATTTTTTGAAATCAGGGCCCAATTTCACACCCACCAACCCCACTTCATTTTCAGTTTTTATATAGCTTCTTTTTCCAACCGTTTGCAGAGAAAACCACTCACATTAATCTAGAAAGAGAAAACAAAAGCAGGAAGACAGGGAAAATATCCTCTGACTCAATCAAATCATACTCATAATCGTGAAGAGGCTCCTTATTCCCAAAGGTTTATTATACTGCCTAAGAGAAGCAAAGCAATCAATGTCGTGTGCAACGCTGAAACTGTAATTACAGGACTACACTCTAACTCAGAGTACATAAGAACAAATCTCAAATTTTAGTCTAAATGTGCTTCATTACAATTTTTTTTCTCTTCTGAAGATTATAAAGAGCCCTGGATTTGGCATGGGTGGAATGTATTATATCTTAGAAGTACAAAATTCTTGGGTAGTTCTCTTATTTGAAGGGTTCAGCTGTCTAAAGATTTAGTAGCAGTTTTAGTTTCATAAAAATATTCAAAGATATAAATCCATGTTAACAGGCAAAAGGATTAATAAAAATTCAAGTTATTAATAAAGAGGAATGAACAAAAGAATTTTTTAAAATCAAGCTTTTTATTGGGTGAAAAAATCATAGAAAAAGCATAATTCAAATAAGAAAATCAGATTTCAAAGGAAATAATCATGAATTAGGGTCAATTTGTAATAGCAACCTAAGACTAAAATAATGAAAAAAAGAGAACAATTTCACAAAGGTTACCATGGTATACATTTAAACTATAATTATCATTCCCAAATATTTTGAATTAAACAAAATGAGAGTATGGGAAAGAATTAGTAAATTCAAAGCAGGTAGAAATATTCATAATTATATCTAAAGAGATATGTGCCTAGAAGGCACATCTGAGGAAGTTAACATTAAAATATCATGCAAAACAAATATCTAATTCCATTTAGTAATGCTAAGTCCTCATTTGAAATACCAACTGTTTCTGCAAGTGGGGCCTTATTTTACTGTCATTTTAAATCAAAGATGAGATTATGAATATATTTAAATAGGATATAACACAGTATGATTCACATTTTCCAATTAGGCCTTTTATTGCTCTTAGGATGATAGGCTTGTATACCAACCACCAGAAGGAACCTTATGAAAGATCACCTATTCTATAGGTGTCAGACCTACTACACTTCTGAGTGCTGCCCAAACCAGATTAAAATGTAACAGGGAAATATTTAACAACATAAAGAAAAATACAATAAGACTTATACGGTTTTCTAAGTCAACATGTGCCTGCAGGAATCCTTATATATGGTTTAGTAACCAGGTTTCTATTTGAGTTTAATACCACTGTCATAGTCCAACTTCCTTTTTTTCTCCTTAAAAAAAAAAATGAGGAAATTGAGGCCCAGAGAAGGAAAATGACTTTCCCAAGTCACATAACTAATGACAGAGCAAGGATTAGAACTTAGGTTTTGTGACTGTAAATTCAGCATTCTTTTCATTGTATCACAAAATTTAAAATACATTTTCTTGGCATGTGGTAGAAAAATATCTTTACAAAATCCTTCCAAAAAACAGCAACTAACCTGGTTTCTCTTGTGATTGTATCATTGAAGATATTCCGTATCTTTCTTTGGCATAATCCTAAATTAAAAAAAGGTTTTGCATATTATGTCTTTATAATCAAAACACCAGGTAAAAGTCAATATATTAAAAAATGAATATAAAAATAGATTTAACACTTAATACTACTTTGATTTAGATATTCAGAATCCTAAGGGAACTGAGATGTACAATAAAAGAAAAGGTTAAGCTATACATGTCGTTTAGAAAGGGACATGGCATGTCTCTTTACCAAAAGAACCTATCATCTAATATCATAAACATATTTGTTAATAATAGCTAGCATTTGCATATGTTTTAATGTTTGCAAATCACTTTATATGACAACAATCCTGTGTGGTAGATGTTACTTCTTATCCTCATTTTACAGATGAGAAAATCAAGGTTAAGGGATTAAATGCCTTGCCCAGAGCCACACAGCTATTGTTTGAGGCAGGATTTGAAATCAAGTCTTCTTGACTCCAAATCCAATTCTTGATCCACTGTGCCAAGTATAAACTTAGGTAATTTAACATTTTCTCCAAAATGTGTCAGACTGTTTCAAAGTAGTGAAATAAATTCCTATAAGCTAAGAGGAAGACCAATAGCACAGATTAGTCTGGCTAGATTACCTTCTTCTTATTCTAGGAGTATTTAAAGACTTAGAACCAATTTTGGAGGAAATTCTTTTGAGTTCCAGATTTCTATATAGGCTTGGGATCTGACATATTTAACATATACTTATACTTTTCCCTTTAAACACCAAAAAATGTCTTCCCTCCTAATTTTTATGTAAAATGGCCCTTTCACAGAAAACAAGTTATTGCACAATATAAGTGCAATATAAGATTCATAGTTTTTGTGTTACTGGATTTCATGACCTCAACCTTATACCTAGACTTGTTGTATTTGTAAAGCTGTATCATTAACTCAAATGTTCATCGTTATCTCAAAAATCAAAAGGAAATTTTCCTTAGTTTTCTGACAGTGTAAATAGTAGGTATAACTAATGTAATTTGTCAATTTCTGTCTAGTCACTCTATTGCTGTTAGATAAAACATGGTATATTATAAGAAAAGGGAATTCCCCCTCTCTCCTTGTATCTACACAGAACCTTGAATTTTAAGTCAAGAAATTAATCTGGACCATATGTATATATGCAACCACAATGCTTACAAGGATAATTCAAACCTTTCATTTTCACAAGCATCAAAACCATATCCATGTTGCAGTTGAATTTGCATTAAGTAGCCACAAATCCCTCTATGTAATGGTAGGCCTCTGGGAATATGTGCGAGCTAAATTAATATTCGATCAACAAATTATTACAGATAATAGCAAGTCCCATTTATATAGCACTTGTAAACTTTAAAGCTCTCTTCTCACAATTATGTGAGGTAGGTTGTGCAAATACTCATTTTATAGCTGAGGAAAAGTGCAAAGAGATTAAGTAACTTGGCTAGGGTTACCAAGCATGTTAGCCAAAGAACTGAAGTCCAGCTTTTTTCATGGGGTCCTCCTATGCCTGTAATACCTTCACATTTTAAGAACTCTATTCCATACACAGGTCAAGTCAGCTAGCATTTATTAAATACCTACTATATACCAGGCACTGTGCAAATGTTACACACATGGAACAATTATGGATTAAAGAGATTTAATAGTTAGTGCCACTTTGATTCAAAGTTCAGAATCCTAAGGGAACTGAGATGAGCAGTAAAGGAAAAGGCTAACTCTACACAATGTCCTGTTTACCATCAGAACATAAATATCATCTAATATTATAAACACACATTTATTAGTAATAGATAGCATTTACACATGGTTTGCCAGTCTCCTTTAAATTTTTTCAGTTTTGCAAAAGTGGGGGGATGGTGGTGTGTTCCTGACACAGACACCAACTTTAGGAAAAACATTTAATCTCAGTTTCTAATGCTCGAAAAATGAAATTAACACCTCCGATAAATCTTAGAGAAATTGCAATTATGGGTGTGAAAGTTAAATAATCTAAATAGAGCTTGAAGGGCCAGCTTTCAAGTGCATTTGGAGGTACAGAAGTTGTTACCTCCTCCACAGAGAACACACTTTTGCGGGTCGGGGGTGTGGGCAAAGGTCAGAAGTACTGAACCAACCCACAGAGGGATCAGGGGAGCCTACTTTTTTTTTTAATGAGAATATGGGTGTGTGGGTTGGCGAGGAGGGCCCGTATGTGTTTGGGGCGGGGTTAAAGGCTCCCGTTGTGTATTGGTGGGACGTAAGGACCCCGGTATGTGTGTTTAAGGGGATAGATAAGGATTCCAATATGTGTGTTTGGGGGGGTATTAAGGACCCCCGTATGTGTTTTGGGGAGTAGGTAAAAACCCCGATATGCGTGTTTAAGGGGGTAGTAAGGACCCCAATACATGTGTTTAAGGTGGTATTAAGTACACCCGTATGTGTTTCGGGGAGTAGGTAAAGACCCCCCTATGTATTGGGGGGGTCAAGGACCCCCATGGACGGGGGTCATTCTGTAAGGAGCACACGCAGGCACACGGGAGCACACACACAGACACACAAGTTAAGGCGGGTTCCTCCTGGTCCCGGACGCGGAAGGCCTCGTCGAGACAAGGGGTCACTCAGACCAGACAGCGAGCAGGCCCCAAGTCTGCCCTGGCCTGGGCTTCCTGGTGACCCTCTAGGGCAGGGCCCGAGTCACCCTTCTCCCCCACCCCTCAGAGCAGGTCAGCCTAGACGACCTATTCCTCCCGGCCCCAGGGAAGAAGGAAACCCACTTCCGCCGCTTCCATGATCTCCCGCGGCTTCTCTTGACTCTGGCGGCTGGCGCTGGGCATCGGGAACGACTGGACTGTGGCGAAGGGGCAACGATTCCCCGCCGGCTTCCGTAACTCGTGGACTAAGGGCTTCTCCCCCACCCCTACCTGATCCTGCTCCCGCCCACACGGCTCTTCAGACACGCAGCGCACGCACTCACGTCGTCGCTGCCGCTTCTGCGCGTGTCCGTCTGGAAAGCTCGCCAGACTCATCACTCTCTCGAGATCTCGGAGGGGCCAAGAAGGGGAGGGAGGCGGGGCCCAGACCTCTCGCTATTCCGCGACCCTAGCGTCCGCTGCTGGGGGCAAAGCGTGCGTGATCTGAGGGTTTTCTCGCGGGATTTCCTTGAAAGGGAGATTGGGGGAACGGAAGTTGTGATTGTGCTGTATGTGGCGTGGCCCAGTGTTTTGGGTGCCTGGGTCTAAGAACCTGAAATAGTTTTCACCACATTGATCTCCCCATTGATTCCTTACCAGCTAAATCCAGTGGTTTTCTTAGTTCTCTTCCTTCTTCATCTGCGGTTTTTGACACTGTAGACAGATCCTTTGTAGGGATATTATGGGGAGGGGGGTGGGGGTGGAAACACTTATGTTCTCCCTCTCCCCCCAGCTTTGTCCTTGCTGGTTCCTAGCTCTCCTCCGACCTTCTAACCCTGGATGTCTCTGAATGTTCTGTCCAGGGACTGTTCCTTCGTCCTCTTCTGTGTCCAAGGCTTTAATCATTATGTAAATGTGCCCTTCCAAGTCTATATATTCAACCCTTACCTCTCTTCTGAGCCCCACTCCTTTGTCATTCACCCAACAAATATTACAGGAGACCCCGGCTCTCAATCACAGTGACATCCTCCCCTCTTTTCTCAATTCCTCATTTGCCAAGTCTTGTGAATTTTACCTCCACCACACAATCAGTCAATAAATAATATTAAGCCCCTTCTATGTGCCAGGCACCGTGCTTAGTGATAGGGCTCTAAAAGAAACCAAAGAGTCACTTCAGTCCCTTTCCACTGATAAAGCCACCACTACTTTAGCCTCTCATCAGATTTTACTTGGACTATTTCAATGGTTTTCTAATTGGTTGCATTGCCTCAAGTCTTCTTCTAATTCATTTCCCAAAGGGCTACCAAAATGCTATTCCACAGGTATGACCATGTCACTCTCCTTAAATTCCAGAGGCTGGCTGTTGGCTCCACAATCAAATTTAGACTTCTTCACAACCTGGTTACAAACTACCTTTCCAGAGTTATTCTACAGTACTCCAATCCAATTAAAAAAAATCTATTAGTATCTGCTGTGTGCTGGACACCATGCTAAGCTCTGGGGATACAATTTATAATAGAGACAACACAAAAGAAGGCCGGAAAGTGGGAAGGGAAAGGGGGACTTCAGGTAGTACCAGGTTGAGGAAGGGAGCTTGTTTCATGGACTGGAAGCAGTACTCTCTTCCACATACTTTGCTCCAGGCAGACTGGCATTGTTGTTTCTCAACCAACTATTTGATCTGTTTCCATGCCTTTGCAGGGGAAGGCTATCTCCCCTGTCAGATATGCACTTTCTCTTCAGCTTTGCTTTTTAGTATTTTTTGTTGTTTAGTCCTGTCTTACTCTTCATGATTCCATTTGGCGTTTTCTTGGCAAAGATACTGGAATGGTTTGCCATTTCTTTCTCCAGCTCATTTAACAGATGAAGAAACTGAGGCAAAAAGAGTTAAGTCACTTGCCCAGGGTCACACTGCTACTAAGCATCTCAAAGCCAGATTTGAACTCAGAAAGATGAGTCTTCCTGACTCCCGCCCCAGGACTCTGTTCATTGGGTCACTGAGCTGCCCATTCTTAGAAATCCTAGTTTCCTTCCAAGTTAAGCTCAAATACTACCAACTACTTGAGGCCTTTTCTGATGCTCTAGCTACTATGCCTTCTCTCTAAATTGCTTTGCATTTATTCTGCTTATACTTACTTATACATGTGAACAACATCTCTTCCACAGAATGGAAGTTGATTGCAGAGATTGTTTCATTTTTGTCTTTGCATCTCCATTTTATTGAGTTTTTGTTTTTTCTTTTTCTTCCTTTATTCTTAGTTATCACTTTTCATGTGGTATAAGTTCCTCTCTATAGTAGCTTTTCTCCTTCTAATTTGTTGCTTCTTATCTGACTAGTGCTTGGAAATCAAATAACCAAGTTTGTTAGCATCATGTGCAAGATAAAAATAAATGACCTTTGATAAAGGGGCCTAAGAAACTTCTGTAAGTGAAATTCATGAACTTTGTGGCATCTGTTTGGTGGCCTCACAGACCTTTTTAGTGTGTCCTTACTTCTTGGTCCTCAACTGTTTTCAATAGGTGAGATTGCTAATTAGCTTAATTGAACTAAATTACTCCTCAAACCTCTCAAATAAAAAACTTTACTAAAATGGAAAGTATGTTCTCTGCAGTTTTTGCAAATAATATGCATCACAGTATTTGTCGTGGTTAGCCTTCAAAGTGACTTTTACCTCATTCTCTCTTAAGCTCTTGAATTATTTAGGACACAATATTTTCATTATGATGTATCTTTCTCTAGTATTTTAGGGTTCCAAAAGTGCTTTCTTCCTAAATCTCCCTGAGATAACTAATGCAAGTATGATTATTCTTTTTTTATAGATGAGGAAGCTTAAGTAACTTGCCTTAGACAATTTGGGTAGAAAGTAGTGGAGAGAAGTCTTAAAACAGACTTCCTGGCTGAAGGCTAGGGTTTTTTCCAATACACCATTATTGCCTCTTGGTATGGAAGGTTCTTCTGATGTTTGACTGTGGACAAGTCACTTAATCTCTCTGGACCTTAGTTTCCTTATTTGTAAAATGAAATGATTAGATTAGATGTTCTCTACAGTCTTTTCCAGCTTTAATATTCTATAGCTTTAAAAAATACATTTTGTTTTAATCATTCAAGTTCTACCTTCTCATCCTCTCACCCCAAACCCTACCACCAACTGAGACACAAGAAAAACAAGTATAGTCATTCAAAGTTGATTTCCACATTGTCTATATCCAAAAAAAGTTTGTCCCATTCTGTAGTGAGCCTTTTACCTCTCTATGAGGAGGTGGGTAGCATGTTTTATCATTAGTTCTCTGGGATTCTGGTTGCTCATTATGCTGGTAAGAGTCAGCACAGTAGTATTATATCACATTTATATACCATAACTTGTTCATCCACTCCCTAGTTTATGGGTATCCCCTCAGATTCCTACTCTTTGCCACCTCAAGCAGAACTATAAATATTTCTATACATCCTTAGAGTTTGTTGTGCTTAGGACGAATCCCTCTCTTAGTCTAGTCTCCCTCCAGTGCCCCCTCTTCTCCCTTTTCCTTCCTATTTCTCTGTTAAGTAAAATGGATTTCTGTATCCAACTCTGTGCATTCTTTCTTTTGACCAATTCAGATACTAATGAACTTGAAATGGCCACTCCTCTTCAGTTTCTCTTTGCTTGTATAGAGTTGTACTTGTGAATTCTGATTATGTGCATGTGAGATGATTTCCCCTAACATTTCTCCCCACCTCCACTGTTTATTCTTTTTTGTTTTATTTATTTTCAAGTTCCAAATTTTCTCCCTCCCTCTGCCCCTTTCCCACCCACTGAGAAGGCAAGCTGTATGATATCAATTATACATGTGAAATCATGCGAAACATATTTCCATGTTAACTATGTTGCAAAAAAAGCAAGCTTCAATTTGCTCTCAGAATTCATCACATCAGTGCTCCCTCTGGTTTCATCATGTCTTTGGAATTGTCTTGGATCACTGTATTAATCAGAGTAGCTAGGTCTTTCACAATTGATTATCATTACATTATCATTACAGTATTACTGTTACTGTGTACAATTATCTGGTTCTACTCACTACACTCTACATCAGTTCATTCCCAAGTTTTTCTGAAAGTATCCTGCTTGTCATTTCTTATAACATGAAAGTGTTTCACCACAATCATATACCTCACTTGTTCAGCCATTCCCCAAGTGATGGGCATCATCTCAATTTCCAATTCTCTGCTGCCACAAAAAGAGTTGCTATAAATATTTTTGTACAAATAGGTCCTTATGGTTTTTCTTTTGATCTCTTTGGGATACAAACCTACTAGTAATATTGCCTGGTCAAAGGGTATATACTGTTTTATATAGCCCTTTGGACATAGTTCCAAATTGTTTTCCATAATAGTTGGACCAGTTCACAACTTCACCAATAGTGCAATAGTGTCCCTATATTTCCACATCTCCAACATGTCATTTTCCTTTTCTGTCATGTTAGCCAATCTGAGGTAGGAGGTGGTGCCTCAGAGTTGTCTTAATATGCATTTCTCTAATCAATAGTGATTTAAAGCATTTATAGATAGCTGTAGTTTTGATTTTTTCTTCTGAAAACTGCCTGTTTATATCCTTTGACCATTTGTCAATTAGAAAATGGCTCTGATTTTTATAAATTTGACTCAATTCCCTATATATTTGAGAAATGAGGCATTTATCAGAGAAACTTGGTGCAAATTTTACCCACAGTTGTTTGCTTCCTTTCTCATTTTGGTCACATTGGTTTTGTTTGTGTAAAACTTTTAAAATTTCATTTGATCAAAATTATCCTTTATACTTCCTGTGATGCTTTATATCTTGTTTGGCCATAAACTCAGCCTTTATTCATAGATCTGACAGGCAAATTTTTTCATGTTCCCCTAATTTGCTTATGATATCATCCTTATGTCTAAATCATGTACCCATTTTGACCTCATCTTGGTATACTGTGTGAGATGTTGATTTATGCCAAACTGCTTTCCAATTTTCCCAGCAATGTTTAGCAAGTAGTGAGTTCTTGCCTCAAAAGTTTAGATTTTGGGGTTTGTCAAACATTAGATTGCTATAATCATTTATAGTCATGTATTGTATACCTAATCTATTCCACTGATCTATCACTCTATTTCTTAGCTAGTTGCTTTGATGATTAGCCCTTTGTAGTATAGTTTGAAATCTGGTACTGGTAGGCCACTTTCCTTCACTTTTTTTCCCATTGATTCCCTTAATATTCTTGATTTTTTGTTCTCCCAGTGTGTGTCTGGTGGAGCCTCAGTGTGGTCCAGGACCTCTTCTTGCACAGGTCTGCAGCTTCTTCCAGGGTGCTACAGTGTCCTCTGTGCAGTGTGCTCCTAGCCTGACCCTTCCCCAATGTCCAAAGACCTGTCTGTCTCTTTCCCTATGCTGAGCTGGGTTGGA